AAGGGGGGGGGGGGGCATGGCGCTCGAGGGGGCGACTTTTTCCCTTGAGAGGGGCGCCATTGTGAGCTAGTGACAGGGGCGTCAGTCTAAAATGTAACGTCATATATTCATGCATGATTTACTAGGTGTTGCAAAATACGAGTATAAGAACCAGATTTCGCTGATTTTCATAAAATCCAATTAATGCAATTTGCAGCCCGGTGTTTTTTTTATCAAAACCTTTATCTTTATGCATATTTAGCACGATATAGGAAACGAGCTAAGGCTAGGACAAGTTATTCTCAAAATACACACACATGCGAATTCGAAACGGTAAAATATACGTTGATCAATAGGCCCAATCTTAATTCTTTGCAAAAAAAAAAAACATATCCGTTCACTCACTGATCCAAAGTGACCTGTGGACTGCAGCCTCTGGTCGACCGGGGTGGCCGTGCTTAGAATCTCAGACAAGTCATGACTGCATGAGTGCCAGATGGGTGAGGCGTGAGACTGTCCCATATAGTGGCACGAAGGTTAAAAATGTTTTCGGCCGGCGTAGTATAGAAGACGACTTTTGATGATGCGAGTGTGCTTGGTCGACTTTGAATAAGCGCCATTGAAACCTGCCGAGATCACCGAACATTCGCCTTGCGCAATCCCCAGACCAAATATCTACATTGAGGGCCAGGTCAATTTTGCGACCTCTCCATTACCTATTAAGTACAGGCTCCACGGCACACTTTTTCGGTTTTTCGTTTCGTTTTTTTCGCTTTTTCGGCTTCAGTAGACGATCAGCTTCACTTGATAACATAGGTGTAGCTCCACGGCAGCGAAATCGAAAAAACGAAATCAGCAACTCGAAAAAGCGACGCGAAAAATCGAAAAAACGACTCTAAAAAGCGAAAAAGCGACTCTAAAAATCGAAAAAGCGAAAAAACGAAGCGACTCATCCAACCCAAAAGTTTGGATCGACAATCAGCTTTTCCACGTTATCTTGAGTTTTTCGGCTTCAGCACGTGACGATGTGGTAATACTGATGCATGTTTTCGACGATTCATATGTATTTCGGTACTCCTAATGGAAAGGAAGGAATGTAATCGCTCAATAGTATTTCAGTGTCGATATGCACATATTATCCACGTGAAAGGATTTAATAGCGGTTGATTATGCGAGATATATGCACGTATTTATTTCATCTTTTGTAAAACCTGTTCATCATGCTTCTGGCCGCGCCCTGCTAGGGGAGCGGTGTTAGGAACACCACCTGCAGTTTTTCGCTAATATCTCAAAAAGGGTGACGTTTCGCGCAACTATTTTTGGCACACCTTATCAAGCACCTTTTTTACACATGTTATGAAAACTTCAGGGCCAAGGTCTCTCAAGGTCAGGTCACCAGGTCAGGTAACCTGGTGAGGTGGTCAGAGTGACCGATTCAGAAAATGTTCCAATGCTTATCATTGCTACACCAGGTAACGGATGGCTTTGGAACTTTCAGCAATTCAAGAGAGTAGCAGTACGCATAAAATGTATATCACATAATTTCGATATCGGTAACCCAAGGCCACGTCAATTTTGCGCCCCCCCCCCCTCCCCATTGCCTAGAAACTGAAAGGCGTTTTTTAACGAACGTCATTCTAAACACTCTCAGGTTACAAGTACACAGAAGCGTACCTATAGGAACCATGGGTGCAGTGGATGCAGCTGCAGCTGCACCCACAATAATTATCGAATACATAGGTGCCGACAGTGCATTCTGCACCCACAATAATTTGAAGCAAAACCCCTTTTCGCATCAACGCTACTTCATATGCAGTATGAGTTCAGGATATTTTCCCTTCTAACCATCTTTCGAGTCATTTGTTTCTTTGTCTTCATTATATATATATATAACTATATATATATATAATATATATATAGAGAAAGAGAAAGAGAAAGAGAAAGAGAAAGAGAAAGAGAAAGAGAAAGAGAAAGAGAAAGAGAAAGAGAAAGAGAAAGAGAAAGAGAAAGAGAAAGAGAAAGAGAAAGAGAAAGAGAAAGAGAAAGAGAGAGAGAGAGAGAGAGAGAGGGGGGGGGAGAGGGAGAGGGAGGGAGAGAGAGAGAGAGAGAGAGAGAGAGAGAGAGAGAGAGAGAGAGAGAGAGAGAGAGAGAGAGAGAGAGAGAGAGAGAGAACAAGATACCCGGTGCCGCTCCCTAAGGCCCCCCCCCCCCGCTCCACGGGCGATGGTTGAATTTCTGCACCCAGAATGTTCCAGCTGTTCCTACACCTATGCAAGTAGGTACACATGACACAATGGACCGGAATATGGCACCCGTGATCCCTTGTTATGCCCTGAGGTCATATCAGGTCGCGAAAGGTATGCACAATTTTCGGTAACAAATTTCGATAAAGGCATGCTACATAGAGCGATGAAAACACATTCGATGTGTTCCACTGGACGATACAAATCGACTGATATGCATCACGAACTTTCCGGCCAGGTCATGACCTAGACCAGTCCAGTTAGCTTTAGGTTCATTCGATGCGTCTCGACCACGTTTCTGGTGAAGGAAAGCTCGTGCAAGTTTAGAGTCAAAAGTTATTGCGGAAAAACTGTTTTTGGAGAATCGTATATTTTGGACGTTTATGCCCCTGCAGGATAAACGGTGGACCTTACGTCAAATCTGAGGACATGCTAGCGAAAGAACGTTAAAAGAACGTTTGATTGCGCCTCTCCGCGGCGCTATAGCTCTATCCATTCCTGAAGCTATGGACCGATTTGTCGAAAATTGCCGAAGTTTGACCTATAGATATTGGCGACATTTTACCTTCAATGACCTTTGGTGACCTGCCCTTTGGCCTACACATAACCTAAAAATGGCCGAAGCAGTTTGTTCCTTATTGTTTAGCTCTTTCAAGTGTCACCTACGGCGTGTCGCTACGTTGCTCAGGAGCCAAGTTAGAAGGGATGTTCCCCCTACCAGCAGGGCGTTGAAATCCAGAAGTCCCAGCGGGGCGCCGGTTAGTAGCTGAGCTGCTGGAAGTTTAGTCAAGCCAGTTTCCTACTACAAAACAGACGAGATCTAGTTTAAGTAATTTCCATCTGTTAAAACAGACAACAAAACAGACCCCTAATTCCTAAAGCCCCTAGGCAAAACTACAACCAAAGCATTGCACTGGTTGCAAACAAAATAAAAAGAGCTGGCGGTTGCACAGCGCGTTCCAACTAAACAAAAATCAACGAAACTCGAAAAACTCAAGTCACGAAGCGATAAATCGAAAAAGCGAAAAAGCGACGCGAAAAAGCGATAAATCGAACCGAAAAAGCGAAAAACCGAAAAATCAAAAACCGAAAAAGTGTCCCGTGTAGCTTGACCTTTAGTTAACCCGCGCCGTGCTGGTGGCTTGTGCTTTCCGTGTCGTGCTGTGGGGGGGGGGGCGTTTTCACGTCCCCCCTCTAACTCGGCTCCTGGGCCACGTAGCGACACGCGGTAAGGGGAAATCGCAAGAGCGTCAAAAATAATGACGGAAATACTTCGTTTCAATTTTTAGGTCAGGTCAAAGGTCAGGTCACCAGAGGTCATCAAAGGTAAAATTTAGTCCATTTCAACAATTTTGGAAACTGCCAACGGCTAACTCGGGAACCAATAGAGCTACAGCGCCGCGGAAAAGCGCATTCGATAGCCCTTTTACAGGTTTTCTGAATATACCTCTCAGATTTGATTTCAGGTCGACGGTTTAGCTTCCAGAGAGCAAAAACTCCAAAATAACAGTTTTTATGAAAAGCGTTTTTCTGCAATAACATTTAGCTCAAGACAGTGACGATATTTATTTTGCCTACTTCGTGTTCCTCTCGTCGAGACGCGTCGAATGAACTATACGTTGACCTTGAAAGGTCATTTTGAAAATTTGACCTCAGGCCAAGGTCATGACCTGACTGGAAAGTGTCATGCTGCATGTCAGTCTATCCGTATCGTCGAGCTGACCACATCTGACGTGTTTTCACCGCTCTAGCACGTCTCTATTAAAAGGTATAGCCAAAAAACTGCTGGTGACCGTTTATGACCTGAGATGACCTCAAGGGCACATAGAAGGGTCACAGGTGCATTTTTACGATTCAGTGTGTTATGTTTACCTATGATCCGATGTTTGAGAGGATTTTAAACGACATTCGTCCAAAAGAGGCGCATTTCACTTTTCTCCCACTGACTTGAGGTCCCATAATTGACCTGACCTTAGGTCACAGAAATAAAAAGTCCGAGATGAACATTTTATACGTATTGTTAGTCTTATTAATCTCTGAAAGTTTCCAAATGGATCGTTCAGTCGGTGTAGCTATAGCGGACCTTTAAACTTTTTTTGAGGTAAGGTCACTTGACGTGCCCTGGTGGCCTGACCTTGACCGACCCTGATCTGAAATTTTCACAAGCTGTGTAGAAAAGATGTATGAACAGGTCTACCAAAAACAGTGGCGCTGCGCGACGCCGTTTTTTTTAGATATCCGCGAAAAAAAACCTAAGGGGGGCGTAACCCCCCCCCTCTCCAGCACGGCGTGGGCTATTGGGAGACATAGACCCCTTTAAACTTGTTTAAAGGAGTCTATGTGGGAGACGATTGAAATGCTCTTCTTCTGAACGAAAACACCCTCAAACATCGGGATACAGGTAAATATGACACATTTAATCGGTAAATGTCACTCGTGATGTGACCACTTTTATGTTACTGAGGTCATCTCAGGTCATGAAAGGTCTCCAGTAGATTTTGGACAATATGTAATAAACAATTTCCAAAGATCCAGACCGCTGTATTTTTCTCCTTCGAAACTCTAGCTCGTTAATTTGATTTTCGCGCAGCGTCACGCGTCATATAAATAGAACGAACTTCTAAAAAGATCAGCGAGGTCAAACAACGTTTTTTCTTTCACACCTCCCCCTGGCTTTCAAGCCACCTTATCAGTCCCTCCACCTTACACCGCTTCTGAGCTGGGAGACTGGTTCTTGGAGAGACTCTTCAGGTAACTGATGCGGGATAGAAGACGTTGCTACCATTTGCTGAGAGGAATCAAGTGCTGCCGGCAGCATGTTAGCCTCCTGAGGAGCTGCTGTTGCTGGAAGGTGCACGAGGAGCGGCCAGTCGTCGGTGACATCACTTCCCGTTGTCTTGACGCACTCTTTTCCTGTGCTTGGCCGCGCAGCTGTGCTCCTCGACTTACATCGCCTTAAGTTCCGAACGTGATGCGGCACGCCGTCTACTTCGATGCTCAGGCTCGAGATGATCGCCGTGACACGACCGAGCTGCGATCTGGCCCAGCATCGTGACCCGCGCCGTCTGACCCACACCTCGTCACCTACGGAGAAGGTGCCGTCATGACGGTCATGGCGTGATTCAACTCTGTTTCGCTCATTGCGTCTTCTTGATGATGCCTCCGTCGAAACAGCAATTGGTCGAGCTCTCACTGAGTACTGGTACAGTTGAGCCGCTGGGCACGTCGCTTCGTCTCGGCTGTCTTGTGGTGTCATGTTATACCAGTACACCGCGTCTGCCACCGAGCATCGGGTTCTGGCCGCCATTGTCTTGATGGTTCGATGGTTACGTTCCACTATACCATTGCCCCCGGCCTCATACGCACAGCGGAAGTGCACAGTAACGTCCCATTTCTGTAGGAGCTCCTCAAACCGACTTCCTCTGAACACAGTTGAGTTGTCCACAAGAATCTCGGCGGGGGCGCCACGCTCATGAAACACTGCTTCCAGCTGCTCGCAGACGGCATCACTGTTCTGGCTGCGTAGTCGCCGCCAGATGCTGAATCTAGACGGTCCACAATCGACCATCGTTAGGTAGAGTGCATTTCCGAAATGCGTCACATCCATGCCCAAGCGTCGCCATCCGTCACCTACTGAGAGCCTACCACGCTTCCATCTGACGGGCGCCGGGTCGATGGAGCTGCACTCATCGCACGCCTGTACCACCTCTCTCACTTCGGGTCGTCTCACAGTAGGATCCCTCTTCCTGACGAAGTAGAGAGTGCGGTTAATTCCTGGGTGGCCACTGGCTTCGTGAACCGCCCTGATCAGTGCATCGGTGGGCATCGCTTCAACTCCCCCGCAAGCTGTGCCGCCAATGCCACTTGAAGTGGTCTTCAGCCACTTCCGTGGCACGCGCGTCAGCTCATCGGCATTATTGCAGGCTGATGTGACATACACCACACTGACGCTCAACTCAAACTCGTCCACCAGGGCAGTCAGGAGAGCCAGCCTGCGACGAATGAGCATTTCACTCATTGCTTTAGTTCGCAGTCGTGCACGGCCACTGAGAGCGTCAGAAATCCAGTGGTACACAGTGCGTGAGTCTGTCAGGAGTCGGATTTTCTTGGCTTTCCAGACGAGCGCCAGGTTGATACCTTTGACTGCAGCGTCCAACTCAGCCAAGTTGATGTGGGCCGCTTCTTCAGTGCGCAGCCAGCAGGCGTCCTCAATGACGTCACCACCAACGTCCAGCACGACTCCCATTGCCAGGGAGCTGGCGTCGGTCCACACTGACATTTCATCTCCTGATACGTCCCAGCGACCGCCGACAGGATCAGAAGCCTGCACACGCCGCACCACCTCCTCCAGCATGTGACGCACCGCTCCACCGTCCTTCACTGGGTCGTCCCAGCCGTTGGTGACGGCGTTGGCGCGGCGCTTTATGTAAGCCGCCGCTACGCGCAGCCAGCCACACACTGGGTGGTGTCCTGTCAGTCTCCCGCAAAACGAGAAGACGACACGACGGGTGAGCTTTTCTGGGATCGTTCCGAAGGCATTATCTCGATTCCATCGTAATCGACCATCAGTCTGCTTGACGCGGAGCCCGAGAACTCGTGCACCCTCTGTCATCCTTTCCGGCGTCTTGCTTGAAAGACCAAAGCACTGCAGGTGTCTCCGCACCGCATCAGCACTCACCACGTCCTCGTTTACAAACACATCGTCAATGTAAGACGAGGTACCAGCAGCTACAGTCTCATCCTGCCGGAGCGTCGCATTCAAAATGGCCTTCATGATGACCGGCGCCACATTCATGCCGAATCCGAGCCTCGTAAGGCACAGGATCTGGCCACGAAACCTCACGGTTTGGTACGGCCACAGCTCCTCGCTGACAGCGATCTGAAGGTAAGCCTTCGATAGGTCGACGAGAGCCACGTTGCGTCCTTGTTTTCTCCATTCGCGCATTTTGTCCGCGCAGACGTCCGCATTGGCGGTGAACGACTCAATGTGCTCATTAAGTTCTCTAAAATCCATCACCGGCCGCACCTTGGCTTTGTTTTTCTGAACCACTGCCATGAGAGGGATTAAACCTTTCGGTAGTCCCATTGTGCGTTCATCGTACTTCTGCAGCCATCCACGATCAATCCATTCCTGAACCTCACACTCGTACTCCTCTCTGGCTTCAGGTTTGATCTGATACTCTCCGACTGAATTCTTCAGGCCACTAGGTTGATCATTGCCAAACCACTTCCAGTTTACTGTCCACTGCTTTTTATTGGCATCAAACCTCGCGGTGAAGTCGGCTTCATCGACCACTATGTCTCGGCATGCTTCTCCCCGCGCCGGTCGGTCACATTCCAGCGTGGCCGCCCCGCCGGCTGTTACCCCGGTCTGCGGGCTCTTGCTGCACGACTCACGTCTAGCGTTGGCAGCACTCTGTCCTCCTTCACCGCCAGGAGAGGCACTGACTTCCACACAGTCAGCCGTCTTGACTCCGAGTGTCACACATCCTTCCGCTCCAATGTGAACTCCTCCAAATGCACACACGCCGTTCATTCCAAGCACGAACTCGAAGTTCAGTGGTCGAAATCCAATTACCAATGCATCTACAAACATTGGTCGCTCTCCTGTGCTGTTCAGACACACAGTAGTAGTTCCCAAGCAACGATGCCTTGCACCGTCCATCGTCATGATGCTAACATTAGTCGGCTTCCACGCTCCGCACAGCGATACGTGGATCAGACACTGCGAGCAGCCAGTGTCCAGCAAAACCTGCCGACTCTCATCGTTCACTCGCAGGCACAGCGTAGGCACAGCGCCGTTCAGCGGGCAGGAGAGAAGACCGACGCAGTCATCTTCTCTCGTTGGTCGTTTCCCGAGCCCCGGCAAGACGTTGAAGTCCGCCCTATTTCGCATGGCTGATGACGGCACTCCGCTGCTCCCCGCTTATTGTGAGTAGCTGCATGCTGCTCACAACAGCTCGCAGCCGTTCGCTTTTTCTGACGCGCCGACATGACGCCTGCATTCATGCATCCGCGGGCAATATGTCCAGGCTGGCCACACTTGAAGCACACCGGCGGGCGTGCTGGCCCTCGCGACTTGATGTAAGCCTCACCTGATCGCACTGGTCCGCGAGATACGGCTGGAAAGGCTCCGGCACCAGGTACTGTCGTTTCGGTCAGAATGCCACGGGCACATTCGAGCAGTTCGTTCACACTCATCTCACAGACGTGTGAGTTCGTCCGCATGGCAGTTTTCACATGATCGGGCAGGCCGAACATGAAGGCACTGCCAATGGCCCTTTCCTCAAAACCTCCAGCCAGCTCGGCAAATCGCCTGATGTCAGCCAGATAGGCATCAACAGGCTCTCCCACAAGCAGCCGACGTGCGTTAAGCTGCTCATAAGCAGAGAATCGGTCTGCCTCAAAGGCCTTGATGAGATGCGTCTTCACCTGATCGACGTCAAGCTTCACTGTCTCTGGCAGCTGATCGTAAACCTTGTATGCATCGCCGATTAACCGGAGTGGAATTATCGGGCACAAATCGGACACCTTGTGAAGCTTACACAGCCACTCCAGCTTGCTCAACCACTCGGCCACACCCATTTCATCTTTGCCGCCTCCACCAAACTCTGGTAACAGCCTTGGATCAAAAGAAGACATTTTAATTAATGAAAAGGCCGAAATAGCTTGTAATAAACAATTTCCGAAGATCCAGACCGCTGTATTTTTCTCCTTCGAAACTCTAGCTCGTTAATTTGATTTTCGCGCAGCGTCACGCGTCATATAAATAGAACGAACTTCTAAAAAGATCAGCGAGGTCAAACAACGTTTTTTCTTTCACACAATAACTTTTGATAGAGATATGGTAGAGCAATGAAACACCCTATATAATTATTTTCCTTCTCGAAAATATGGATCGACAGTTAGGTGATGACCTTTACCTTAGGTCAAATTCTCAAAATGCCCTTTTAATGTCTACTTCTAGTTCATTTGACTCGTCTGTCTCGAAAAATGGAACACGATGCTAGTTAAACTAATCTCGTGCAGGTCTAAGCCAAAAGAAAAGGTATTACAGATAAACGCCCTCCGAGAAAAGTATATTTTGAGGCTAAACGTTTACCTTAGGTCAAATCTGAGATAGAACGAACGCCGCCTACTGCGTGTCTCGACGTGGCCCACAAGCTAAGTAAGAAGTGGGTGTTCAAACACCCCCAGCAGGTTCAATAAAAAAAACGCTTACGCTGTTGGCGGCACCGCACTGCTAGGCGCTGTCGGCATCGCAATAATGAGCGGCACAGCGCTGAGGAGCGCCACTTGCATTGAGGGGTGGCATTGTACGGTGAAGGGGCGCATTGAGGGGTGGCATTGTACGGTGAAGGGGCAGCGTCGCATTGAGGGGCGGTATCGCAACGAGGGATGGCACTTACGAGGCTGCCTTATAAGGAACGCTTGGCACATCCTAGCCCAGCTCGGCGCCGCCTGGCTGCTGCATCTTGAAAAGGGCCCTTGGTGTCGATGAGAAAGCCCCATTGTCAAATAATTGCCTAGCGTCAGTGTTTCGGGGGAGGGCGCTATCGATCTTGAATGGGGCGGGGCGACCGAAGTCTCCATTCAGTTTCGCGTCAGTGACTACTGGAGGGCGTCAACGACCTCGGATAGGGCGAATGTAATCTTCAGAAGGGCACCGGGTGCTCTAGAGGGGTGCAATGCTTGGATGGGGTCACTGCTGCCTTCAGTAGGGCGTCGGACGCTCTGGAGGAGCGCCATTGATCTCGGATGGTCCGACTGGGATTTTCAGAGGAGCATCAGTGGCTTCAGAGGGGCGCCATTGATCAAGGATGGACCGACTGAAGTCCCGGTTCAGGTGGGCGCCAGTGGCTCTTGAGGGGCGCAAGCGACCTCGGATTGATGGGGCGATTGTGATCTTAAGAACGGCGTTGAGGGGTGCCATTGGGCATGGATGGGGCCACTGTTGCCTTCAGCAGGGCGCCGGAGGGAGGCTCTGGAGGGGCTTGAGCTTGGGTGGGCCGACTGTAGTCTCCAGGGGCGTTGTCTCGGATGGGGCGAATGTGATTTTCAGAGGGGTGCCGGGTAGTCTAGAAGGGCGCTAAATTGGTTTCAGTGGGTTGCCATCGATCTTAAGATGGGGCAGCTGTAATCTTCGTTTAGATCGGCGCCAGTGACTTTTGAGGGGCGCCAGCGACCTCGGATGAGGACAACTGTGATCTTCAGAAGCGCGCCGGACGCTCTGGAGGGGCGTCATTGGGCTTGGATGGGGCGACTTTAGTCTCAAGCGGGACGACTCCAGCTCAAGGGGGGTGGGGCGCTAGTGGCTCTTGAGGGCGCTATTGATCTCGGATAGGGCGAGTGTGATCTTGAGAAGAATGCGGGTGCTTTAGAGGGGCGCCAGTGGTTTCAGGGGGTGCCATCGAACTTCGATGGGTCGATTGGGGCAGCTGTGAAGTTCAGAGGGGCGCCGGGTGCTCTAGAGGGGCGCCATCAAGCTTTAATGTGCCGACTGTTCCGTTCAGGTGGGTGCCAGCGGCTCTGCAGGGGCGCCATCGACCCTCGGGTTCGGATATTCTGGTTTCCGTAGGGCACCCTTCAACATTTGGGGGCTCAGGTCGTATTTGGGGGTGCCCTGGAGAACATTTAGGTGTCCAGGCACCCCAAAAGAGATATTGAGTTCGATCCCTGCCTGCACATCACTTTTTAATTCATGTTCTCTCTGTAAAACGGCATCAGCCTAGTCGGCGCTAATTGGGGCGCCATTTGGGCGGCTGGGCGGAAAGAAAGGGCCATGGCCTCCATGGCCCCCCCCCCCTGTCTACGCCACTGGCTGCATGTTTTTTTCTACTCAAATGAACATTAACACACAACGTCCATTCTTCTATGCGATAGGATAGATGTTTGTTGATCGCCGTTGACAAATATGTATAATTATATATTTGAGCATCTAGTCTTTCCGACTCGAGGTCGCTGGCCGGGGTAACTTTTTCAAACACTGTCCACCCATGAACCCTCACATAGGTGGCGGGCCGCTGCGAGCTCTCAGCTGCCATGGTGCTGAACATCTGCCGCGGTCAGAGAGGAGCGCCGCTGAACATCTGCCGCGGTCAGAGAGCTGAGCGCCGCGCAGAACTGACAGGGGGCTCTGATTTCAGTGGCTGGACTCCGCTCGGTCAGAGAGGAGCGCCGCGCAGAACTGACAGGGGGCTCTGATTTCAGTTGCTGGACTCCGCTCGGACAGAGATGAGCAACGCGGCGGGCCACCCGAGCGGCGGAGCGGCTCCACTGTGCACCGGCTGAGCCACGCCACGGAGCTGCTCGCAGACCGGTGCCGGTGACTCCGGGGACGGGTGCCGGTGACTCTGCGGGGGCTGCCGGTGACTCTGCGGGGACTGCCGGTGACTCTGCGGAGACTGCCGGTGACTCCGGGGACGGGTGCCGGTGGGAGGCGGATGCGCCGCTCGGCGGGCGCGGCTGCGCTATCTGCGGCCACCCCGGCGTCCTTCACCATGCGTGGTGCGGTGCTGGTGCTGGTGCTGGTGCAGATGGTGCCGGCGACCGCCGTGTGCCCGGCGCAGTGTCTCTGTAACCACACGGCGCTCACCGTCTCCTGCGAGAGCGGCCGTCTTGAGCACTTCCCCATCCAGCTGAACCCGCGCGTCCAGCGACTGGATCTGGCCGGCAACCGGATCACACGCCTGCATGGCTCGATCGACTACTACACGGGCCTGGTCTCCCTCAACCTGAGCAGCAACGCCGTGGAGCGGCTGGACGCGCTGACGTTCGAGCACCAGCGGCTGCTGCAGGATCTGGATCTGGCCAGCAACCGTCTGGAGTTGGTGGCGCGCGGCAGCCTGGCCGGCCTGCGGCGGCTGCGGCGGCTCTCCCTGGCTGACAACCGGCTGGTCCGCCTCGACGACGGCGCGCTCGGCGAGGCGCACCACTTGCAGCGGCTCGACCTCTCCGGAAACCGACTGCGCGCGCTGGGCGGCGCACTGTCCGGCCTGGCGCGGCTGCAGGCGCTCTCAATCGGCAGCAACCGTCTGGCGCGGGTCCGAGCGGTGGAGCTGCGTGCACTGACCGACCTCCGGGAGCTGGGCCTCTGCCACAACGGCCTGCAGACGCTGCAGGGCGCCGAGCAGCTGCCAGAGCTGCGGTGGCTTGACCTGTCCGGCAACCGGCTCACAACTCTCCCCGACCTGTCGGCGCTCACCAAGCTGAGCCACCTCGACGTGAGCGCCAACCGTCTGAGCAGGCTGGCGGCCGCCGCACCGAGCACACTCCGCTGGCTTGACCTCAGCGCTAACCGGCTGAGCCGGCTGCGGGCCGCCGACCTGGCCGGGCTGCCGCACCTGCGCCAACTGCGGCTCTGCGACTCGGCTCAGCTGCGGGAGGTGGCCGCCGACGCACTGTCCGGCTGCCCGCAGCTGCACACGCTGCAGCTGTGCAACAACTCTCGGCTGGCGCGGCTGCCCGACCGGCTGCTGGTGGCCACACTGCGCCGCGTCAGTGTGCGTGACTGCCGCCTGTCGGCACTGCCGGCGCCGGCGGCCGCAGCCAACCTCAGCTGGCTGGACGCGCGCGGTAACCAGCTGTCGTGCAACTGCTCGCTGCGCTGGCTGCAGGAGGCTGTGGCGGCCGGCCGGGCGGCCGACCTGCGGTGCGCCGGGCCCGGCTCGGTGAGTGGCCGGCGCCTGTCGCTGCTGGCCACAGCCGAGCTGTGGTGTCCGCCGCCGCTGGCGCCCCTAGCGTTGTCGCTCGGCCTGCCGCTGTTGGTGCTAGCGCTGCTCGGTGGCGCGTTCTGCGCGCTCTGCCGACGACGGAGGAGTCACAGAACGGCCACGGCCGGCGTCTGTGTGGCCACTCTGGCCCAATCACACGGCACCAAAGGGGCGGCCGCCGCTGCCGGTGGCGGCCGCGAGTGGCCCCGCTACTGGCCGTGTGAGGTAGGTGCGCCAGCTCAGCACGGCACTGGCAAACTGCACACGGCTGCCAGCGTGTGGGCGCCGCGGCCCGTCAGTGCCGAGCCGAGACTGGTGCTGAGCGCCGACTCGTTCCGCGGCTACTCGTCCGACGAGCAGTACAGTACATCCATTTTCAGCTGTGACGATCAGCCGGCGCTGGCGCTGCGGCCGTGCAGGCCGACCGGGAGGGAGACGCGCAGCGCCCGGCCACCTACCGGCGCCGACCAGCGCCAGCCACCCAGCCAGCCACCGTGAGACAGCCAGCAACGGCCCAGTGTGGCCCAGTGTGGCCCAGTGTGGCCATCAGGCGGACCGCCAGCCTGCGGAGCGGCCCAGTGTGGCCAGATGGCCATCAGGCGGACCGCCAGCAATGTCAGATAGTCTGCGGAGCGGCCCAGTGTGGCCCGGTGTGGCCCAGTGTGGCCCAGTGTGGCCAGATGGCCAGATGGCCATCAGGCGGACCGCCAGCCTGCAAAGCCGCCCGGTGTGGCCCAGTGTGGCCCAGTGTGGCCAGATGGCCATCAGGCGGACCGCCAGCCTGCGGAGCGGCCCAGTGTGGGTGTAGGCGCCGCCGGGAATTAATGTTTTTTTTTTTTTTTGTTCGCTGGGTGGTTCGTTCAGTTGGTGTTTCCGGGAGTTGAGTTGGAATTGAATGGAAGTAGAACGTCATCAGTGGATCCTCCTTAGTAACAGTCAGCTGGGCGCTGCGTCGCTCCGGTCATGTCCGCGGTGAAAGTTTGCAGCTTTACTGCTGGAAGGCTCATATTCTGTCATCTCTAGTGGTGAGTTTGTAGTAATTATTGGTTAAAGGCCCATGTGTGAAAGAGATTGGCCGTGTATTTATCACAGTATTTTGCGTATGATATTTTGAGTGATGTTGTGTTTTACATAAATTGCGTATTTGTTGGCGTTCTCGTTCCTGAATATTAAAGTGATGATGGTGCTGCGCCGCCATGTTTGGTTCATTCACGGCCTTGGTCAAGGCCGTATAAGAGAGGTAGAATCATCCCGCGATTTCCAATGGACCGGTCGCTAAGCATTAGCGTGACGTCACTGGTGGAGACCGGGCGGCGCCCGGCTCCAAGCTGTACGTCGGGTACATTTGGCACCGCATGTTGTTATTACTGAACGTAACGACAACTAATGACTCTTTATAAGTTTTTTCTCTCCTAAAGATGATTTCCTTGCCGGTACATTGCCGACCCGAGCCCCAGGGCTGACAATCATGGGATATGGGTCGGATGGGCGACCTCGCGACGGCAGAAGGAACGATTGCAATTGTTGTGTCCCGCACCGCCGATTGCATTCTCTATCTGCACCCGGGGGGGGGGGGGGAGCAGGGGGCACGTGCCCCCATCGGATCAGGGGGCCTCTCGGGCCCGAGGGGCCTTGCGACGCCAATTGGCGGCTGAGGGTCCACGCTGGCATCTTTCGACTCAGAAGGGCCCCACAGGGCTCGGAAGAACACCTTATGTGCTCCGAAGCGCCACACTTCTCTCCATAAGAGCCCCACACCGGCTTTTTAGTGTCCCTTGTCGGCCTTTGAGGGCCCCTTGCCGGCTTCTCAGGGCCTATTGGCGACCTCTGAGGGCTACTTGCCGGCCTCTAAGGGCCCTTACCGGCCTATCAGGGACCAGCAGCTCTAAGGGTTCCACACACGCCTGCAATGACTGTCTAAACCAATGGCTGTAGGCCCCACAACGGCGCCTGCGAGGGCCCTCACCGGCGGCTGTGAAGGCCCCACACCGGTGCCTAGCTGAGGGCCCCACACCGCCACCTCTGAGTGCAACCGGCACCCCTGAATGAGGTCCCGAAACCACTTCTTAAGTGCTTCTTAAGGCTATATATCGGCGGCTCTGGGGGCCCAACGCCGGAGCCTCTGCGGACTCTGACGGCCTCAGACGGGACCTGCGCATCGGACGGCTACTCACCGGTGACTTTTGAGGGCCCCACACCGACGACTCTGAGGGCCCCACTGGCGTTTGAGCGTACCTTGCTGGTCTCTAAGGACTCCACAGGGCTCCCGAAGGCACCGCAGACCTCTAGAGAGCCCCTTGTCGGTCTCTGAGAGCCCCTGTCGGCCTGTAAAGGGTTCGAGCCAGCAGCTCTAAGGGTCCCACACCCGACTGCGACAACCCCACACTGCAGTGTCTCTAAGGGCCCACGACGGCAACTGTGAGGAACCTCACCGGCGCCTCTGAGCGCCCACAGCGGCACCTCTGGGGGCCCCGCACCAATGCCTCTAAGAGCCTCACACCGGTACCTGTGAGGGCCCACACCAGTGCCTCCAAAGGCTTCATAACCGGCGGCCCTGAGGGCCCTACACGGGTGATTTTGAGGGGGGCCTACCGAAGGCACCACACAATCCGGCCCTTAGTCTCGCTGAGTTTCTATCCCAATCCCATACCGGCTTCTATCCCAATTCCGGCTCAACTAATTAACAGCCCCCCCCCCTTCCATGGGTCAGCAGCGCCGCGCCGGTGTTGGGGGCCAGCGCCATCGGGCCGGCAGTCGGCCTCGGCCGCGCGCACTCAATGGTTAGCGCTTAGCACCGGCGGCTAGCGCACGCCCGGTGTGTTACCGGCCGTGAGCCGCTCCAAAACGGCTGCAGTAACTAGTCGATATAGGAAGTAAGCAGATGCAGAGATGCAGGTGGATTGATGACCGGCAAGCTTGTGTGTTTTATGAGGGTGAAGGGTCGAAGTCGGCGGCTGAGTGGTGAGCGGATTTTATCAGATACCGGTTCACATGACCTTTGGCCAGGTCCTGGTACCCTGACGCACTCTTGGAGAGCCGAATCACAGCAAAAATCCATCCACCACTGTATCTATACGACTTGCTCTTTTTTGAAAACGTCTGCGTTTGGCCTTCTACGGGCCCGGCCGGCCGGCCGGCCCCGATTGGCGGTCCTCCAGTGACGTCACCGGTAGTGTTAAGCTGATTGGCGAATAATACATGGGAAGAACCGGGACGACATCCCCCTGCTCGGCAGACTAGACAGCTGCCCAGAGGCCGTTGAAGAAGGGGACTTCCACGGGCAGACTAGCGAGCTGCCTCGGGGTCGTTGTAGAAGGGGATACCCCGGGCAGACTAGCGAGCTGCCCCGGGGTCGTTGTAGAAGGGGACACCCCCGGGCAGACTAGCGAGCTGCCTCGGGGTCGTTGTAGAAGGGGATACCCCGGGCAGACTAGCGAGCTGCCCCGGGGTCGTTGTAGAAGGGGACACCCCCGGGCAGACTAGCGAGCTGCCCCGGGGTCGTTGTAGAAGGGGACACCCCCCCCCCTCGGGCAGACTAGCGAGCTGCCCCGGGGTCGTTGTAGAAGGGGACACCCCCGGGCAGACTAGCGAGCTGCCCCGGGGTCGTTGTAGAAGGGGACACCCCCCCCCCGGGCAGACTAGCGAGCTGCCCCGGGGTCGTTGTGTTGGTTGTAGAAGGGAACACCCCCGGGCAGACTAGCGAGCTGCCCCGGGGTCGTTGTAGAAGGGGACACCCCCCCGGGCAGACTAGCGAGCTGCCCCGGGGTCGTTGTAGAAGGGGACACCCCCCGGGCAGACTAGTGAGCTGCCCCGGGGTCGTTGTAGAAGGGGACACCCCCGGGCAGACTAGCGAGCTGCCACGGGGTCGTTGTAGAAGGGGACACCCCCGGGCAGACTAGCGAGCTTCACCCGGGACTTGCAGAATTGGGCATCCCAAGATTATCCGAATGTTCAGGGCAATTACCCGACCTGAATACCAAAAATACCCGCTTTTGAAATCTGATAGTACCCGCATCACCCGCCACGGGCAACAAGCTTGCCTTTCCGCGAAGCTCCGGATTGATCAGGGACCAAATGACCGGCATACAGACAGCCCCATACGCTGTAAACAGGCCAATATGGGTAAAGGTTGCCGTTGCTTCCTAGCTCGACACGTTTCGGAGGTGTTTACTGCCTCCAAACGCCGAGCTGGCTCAATGTCACCCATAGAAGGTACAGTAACTCACCCACCAACCAACCATAGGCAGGTCCTGAGTGACGTCAACCCTGATGCTGGCGAGGGGTACCAGTGCCCCAAACTTTGTTGATTTATGTGGGAAACGACATCCAAATGAAAATCACTTTTCACTCGCCTCCATTTTTTAATAGCCCATTTTCCACTCCCAATTTTACCAAGAAAAAGCATTTGCATGGATCGATAGCCATTTTACTCCCCACATACCAGCCTTGTATTAAATTTTGCTGTACGTTCTTTTTCCACTCTTTAGGCATTATCTGACCATCAATTTCCCACCCTTATCCCTTATTTGGTGAGTAATTTTCATAGACCCGGGAAACAGGGGGCAGCGGGGGCGCTTGCCCCCCCCCCCCAACCTGAGAGCCGAGGGGGCGGCGCCCCCTCAACATTGAAGCAGCGAGAAAGGATCTTTCCCCCCTTTTCCGGACTTCTTTCCTTTATACATCTAAACATCAACACACGGCATTTTCCTTGCCATCTGAATGGTTTCTGCTGTTAAGTATATGATTTGACATCTGCTGTTGTCATCCCGCTTTTGTTTGGGCCTGGCCTTGGCCATAAGTTTGGCAGGCCAGCTTTTATACTGGACCATTTTAAGTTAACCTTGAGAAATACCTAACGTACAACGGTGGTAAAAACGTTGCTATAGGTATAACACAGTTTACCCGCTCCGGGTGTAAGGGAGGGGTGTGGGGCAATGAGTGCACTGACGTGGCACCCTTGGAAGGCCGGTATGGGATTAAAAGCTCAGCGACACTAAGGGCTTGTATGGTGCCTTCGGTTATCGTTAGCATCCTCAGAATCACCGGCGAGGGCCCTCAGAGCCGCCGGTAAGGGGCCTTTAGAGGCACTGGTGTGGGAATGTCATGCAGGTGCCGGTGTGGGCGCTCAGAGGTGCTAGTGTGATTCTCTCAGAGGCGCCGGTGAGGGTCCTTACAGGCGTTGCTGTGGGCCCTCATAGACGCTGGTGTGGAGCCGTTACAGACGGATGTGGGGCCTGAGCTGCTGACGCGAACCCTCTACAAGCCGGCAGGGGGTTCTCAGTGACCGGCAAGAGGCCCTTAGGCCAGCTGAAGAAGTTCTGTGGGGTCCTTAGAGACCGGCATGGTACTATCAGACGCCGGTGGGGCCCTGAGAGTCACCGGACCGGTGTGGGGCCCTCAGAAGTCACCAGTGGGTGGCCTTTAGATGCGCCGGTGTTGGGTAGGTATTCGGGTCCTCACTCTCAGAATCGCCGATATAGGGCATTAATTAGGCACTA